TTCGATGAAAAGGAATAGATTGCAGCATTTATGAAATCAGCGTGTTCCACGGTTTTCGTTTGTTTTAATTATTCTACAGGCTTTAGTAACGACGATATCTCTTCATTTAAGAATTCGACGAAGGAGGCGAGACTGCTAAGAAATGACATACTAAGATTAAGATGTCACAATTAATTGTCCAGATTTACAAACTTTCACATACTGCATAGCAAGAGTTGTGAAAGTCAAGTACGATCTCCTTCACATCACTTTACAGGTAAATCAGAGAAAACTTTCTCAGTGGAATCCACGCGAAAAAGGACGACGGCTCAACGAATATGACATCCTCGTGTTGTTCGTGGCGCAATGCACTCCAGTAAAAGTGGCGCAGTGCAGTCTGGTTAACTGCAATGCATTCTGGTAAAAAGTGATGAATTTGAGAATTCGTACCCCTTTCTATATATTCTTCTTAAATCCTGATTATGTTGCTGCTCGCTCGCTACGCTCGCTCCGCAGCAATTAAAAAGATAGCAATCCTCGGGGATGCAATTAGGTACCATTATTACCTGCCGGGAGATAAGTATTTCTCTCAATACTTTCTTGTGATATCTTTGTTGTTGAATCTAGATATGGGCAGGAACAAATTTAAAATACATTATTATCAATCTGACAAATAAAAATTTTAGCACAATTGCTACTAAATCTCAAAATCGGATTGGCTAATTTGCCATTGTCAATAAGAGTCCAGACAACACTGCTCACGTCAATGTGTCACACAATGCCTTTTTCAGCTTGCGCTCTGAAAAAAAATATTTTCTTTGATGTTGATATTGTGGTAAAAGACAAATCAAAATGTGGTTTAGTATAGTCTGTGCTCTTATTCACAACGATACGCATCACCAGAGTGGTCACAATTTGTTGTGAACTCACTTGGCTGTGCCTCATGAGTCCACAACATTTTGACCAATTTGACGACGTTTATCATTGTTGATTAGAGTACAGACCACGCTAAACCACATTCAATTTGTTAAATATATAATACCTTCACAGTACAGTGAAACCTGAATTACATGGATGACCGACAAGTTTGTTTACAATTAAGTCTATTTTTAAAACTGCAACATCTTATCTATTATTTTCAATTATATTTCTAAATACTTCCTCTCCTTAATATGATGATTCTTAGCAAGTGGTCAGCAGCCAAAATACTGCTAATTAATAATGATTATTAGAAATAATAATGTAATAATAGTAATTATTAGAAAATAGCCCACAGAAAATACGCATGCTGATTGGTTTAAAATCGTGTTTCTATAACTCGATAGAAGCACAGAACTAGCACAAGCTGTTGACATAATGATAGCACGAGTTAAGAGAATTTATACCTGATGATCAAAGTAAACGAGTTGTTTTTCTTTCTTTTGTTGGGATATTTTCTACATGGTACATGTTCTTCATCTTTCTATCAATTTTTAGTAAAAATCTACTTGTCTAGCATTCTACCATGAATGCCATTCTTTGATTGGCTACGCTACTCACTATCTACACAGTGATAGATAAAGAGAAGCGTAGCAGTGGGCCCATGTTAACAAAATGACGGCCGTGTCTTGTGTTTTCAAAGTGTCTGTGAAGAGGATTTAGACAAAGTTTTAAATGACCTGTAGATTTATACCAAAAACAATTAGATTATTTGCTCTCAATTTCTATGCGTGATAGTTGACTCGGGCAGTGCCCTTGTCAATTATCATGTGATACAAATCTCAAACTCATGAATAATCTAATTGTTTATTAGAAACAAACTCACGGAAGTTTGGGAGAACTCAAAAACTGTAGAGACACTCGCCTAACAACTCGTGTTCCCACAGCATTTCTTGTTATCCTAAACTTTCACTCATGTTTCTATAAAACAATTAGATTATGGGCTCGAGTGATAGTTGACGACGGCTGCAACCTCATCAACTATCATGCAATAGAAATCGAGAGCGAATAATCTAATTGTTTTAGTATAAATCTACTAGTAGTTAAAAACTTCATCTAAATTCTCTTCTTCGAAAACATCAAGATGCGGCCGTAATTTTGTTGACAAGGGCACACTGCTACGCTACTATCTATCACAGAATAGATAGTGAGTAGTGTAGCCAATCAGAGAACATTCGTATTCATAATAGAACGCTAGTAGATTTATACTAAAACTCGATAGAAACACAGTACATGTTTTCTATTTCGCTATATGTCTAGCTTAGCTCAGACGGAATTTACAGATTGCACCTCAACAGCATGCAGGGGTAGGCTACTCCAATCCCTGTTCGTATTAAGGAAAAATGAGAACAGGTGATAATTTGATTTAGAGACTTTATATGAGAATTTGTGCATGTGCCTGCTAGAGTGGACAGCACAGTCTGGCTCCAGATATTTCTGTTGGTCTATCTCAACTAGATTGTAGTGCATTTTATATAGCATTGCTAGTCTTGCTTTCCTCCTACATAGTTCTGAAGTTTCTCAATCAAGTTGTTTCAGCATTTCTTTGACCCTAGCATACCTTTATAGCAATTGTGAAGAAATAATTGACTTATCATGATGGTTTCTGATTTTGGAGTTTCATCATCTGAATCAAGTGAACAATTTTACTGATGGCAAACAAAGGTCCTTCTTTCAATAATGGCAAGACTACTCCAGCAATATCTCAGTCAATCTTAAAGCTTTGTCAGATGTCCTAGTACTAGGCGTATTAGATGGTAGAATCTTACTAAAAGTGAATAGGTTAACCCTACGAATTTTCTTTTCAGCCACTTTTTTGGTGTCCTTGTTCACTTAATAGACTGAGATGTCTGCTTATTGTGACCACTTGATACACGTCAACATACCTTGTATTCCTTGTATTTAGCTTTCCGGCACATCTTTTTGTACTTCACCACATCTGGGTAGAAGAAGCCATCTGCATGTACATAATAACAAACATTAAAGATCCATTTGTCACAGTTGTATCATTGCAAGTATGCATGTTGAAACAATGTCACAATGTAAGCCCCATAGAGCCTCTCTCCACAATGGAGTATAAATGGATACCAGCACAATTAGTTTCTCTTGTTTTTCATGCTACAGAAACCAATGTTGAATGCATATAATAATTATAATAATTGATAATTATTAATAGTAAGTGTACCAATTACAATTAAGGGAGTAGTTGGACAAGTAATTTCCAAGTTGGATGAGCATGATCAGTATTCAATCTAGGCTGCGTTTTTGTCTCATTGATGGAGAATAATCTATTCTGAGACAAAATGAAATGATCATGGGGTCATACTGATGCAAAAAAAACAAGTTACCTCGTATATATTCAGTACTTCCAAAGCAACTGGCAATAATAAAAGTAAATTAAACAAATGTGTGTGCTTACTAGCCTGAAATGAGGGCATGAAATGACTAGCATTTCAGACTATGTGTATACGAATACTTTCTGTGTCAGGCATTCCAAGCAATAGGCCCTTTGCAGCCGGGGTGACGTGACCAAAATTTTCCTAAAAATATTATATATTATGGGCTATAACTTAAAGAATGCCCCTGGCATTTAAGAGTAAGTTTATATGTCAGTTTGAACTTTCGGAAAATTTAGAGGATATCTATGGAAAATGTTGCTGGAGAACAAGGTCTTGCTCTCCAACAAATTTTTCCAAACAAATCTTAAGTTCTTTATTAGTTTTTAACTCGGAGATTGTGTAGGCAATGTATAGGGCTTAAGTTGTGGTGCAGATTGTGCAAATGATGTCCTTCTATCATCTGTAAACCTTTTGGAGTAATTCCGTTGACCAGTAGATAAAGCTCCTGAAATCACTGTATTAGTCAATATTGCAGACACATGTATCGTTTTACATTTCTAGGTCAAGGTCTATGTGACTGTGATTGTTACACTAAAAATGGAAACTTGTTTGGTTTGCTTTCTGGGTATAGTTCATTTAACATTTCTATTACAATTCTAATCTTAAATTTAATAGTTAAGTGTAAATAAGACCAAATGTTAACTTTTGTAATACACATTGGGAACGTTTTTGATGACACAGGTGAAGTTGCTGGAAACTGCTATTGTAAATTTCTGCTTCAAAGTTTAGTAAAGATTGACAAGAGGCAATCTGCTCTACATATCGATTTTACTACTACTGGAGGGTTGAGCTCCTGAAATTAAATTTCAGAAATCAAAGCGAACAGTTCTGTCAAGGCCACCATAGCATTTGTCGAAAATGTCTCTAATAAAGAACATCACGGTCTTGCTAGCCTCTAAAAAGCTCATAATTACACCAGATTATAAGTTAATCCACTGCGAGAAAATCCTGCTCTTGAAGACAAACTCTCCATATTACACAGATAACAGTGAAGAAACATGTTGCATTGCAAGACAAATCCCACATAGCGGACGCAAGGAGAACTAGCTAGAACTTCGCAAGCTGAAATCCAATCCGAGCATTAAAATTTTGCCCACAGACAAACATTTTTGGGCTTGTTCAAGCTGATACACTTTTGACACTTGAAAAGGCTGATGAGCTATCATATCGCAAAGTTGCACAACAGCTCTCACGAAAAGCTTTATAGGTCTATTAATAGTAGATTTAATCATCGCAACATAATCAGATGTGTACAGTCTGATTTTGAGGTCATTATTTTGAATCAACAAAAACTCAATTTGTGCTACAATTGTACTGGCCATACTAAAAGTCGGCATCCAAGAAGTCTGTAGTTTAAGAGACTATATTTGGCATATTTGTTAGCTAAATCGCATATTTGCTAGCCAATTTGAGATAAGGCTGAAAGACTTTGTATCTTTTCCCCTTAAAGTAAGCTTTGTTATGTGTTAAATACTATGGTTAGCACCTGCATTCCAATCTAGCGCACCCAAGTTAAATTCCCGGATTCATCAGCTTTTTTTCTGTTTGTTTTTTTAAGCCACTACAGGCAGTCTTTTTCTTTTCCTGTTCAACCCTTTTTCTGGTGAAGAATATCCACAGGTAGCTAGCTACATGTGCTACTTATTTCAAGCTTGGAACCAATAAGAACACAGTTTTTGACATTACGGGACCTCGCTGCTTTGCATAATTGACCTCAAATTGCATCTGATGGTTTAAATGATTCACATTTTTAATTCATAGCAAAAAAACTCAATTTCTCTGAAGATCTTTCACAGCTACCCTGTGAGCAGAGTCCCTTCATTCTTATTTGCTACCTATTCCCACTCACGAAGAGGTTACTTTCGTCTTCACATGAGAAGAAAACTATGTTGGACAAGGTTTACAGGGTAGAGTGGCTCATCAAGAATGAGTAAATCCATCGGAGCAATGCAGCTCATGTAGTGCAGGTTTCCCAGTTCTTGTACCTCATGCAGTATGCACTAAAAGTCATTCTTCTTCTTTTTTTTAACAGACTGCTGTTATAACTAGTATAGCCAGAAGTCAATATGGTAACTCATATAACTAGAATAACCTGTAAGCCACACATGTCAATCATCATCCACTGGGAAATCGACAGGTTTGCTCACAGAGCACTTCGATTTAAAATTTCAAACCATCATTCTTTAATGCCAGGGACCTCAAACATGGCCATTTTGATATTTTTGATATGCTGTAAAATTCCATTTCTGCCATTCCTAAAGTTGCAGCCCCTACTTTTCTGAAAAGTAGGTCACGTGATGGCTTAGATTTCCCAGTGGCTCATCATCCACTGGGAAATCAACAGCTTTGCTCATAGAGCACTTTGATTTAAAAATTCAAACTGTCATTAAATCTCGTTCTTTAAGGGGGCTCAGTCATGGTAGTTTGAGTTATCTTGGCCATATACAAAATTACCTTTATAATAATAATATAATAATAAAAACAATCTTTAAAGAGGAAGCACCCGTCACATAATACATGGTTTTCAGGGAGGTCCTCCATAAAAATAAAAAGTATTAAAATCTAAAATAAGAAATACAAATGGTAGTGAAATACAAATGGTAATACAGTGGCTTTAAATGGTAGGAAACCTGAAAATAACAGTTTAATAAGATAGAAAAACACTAAAGAGATAATGATAACCCATAAAGGAACAAGGATGGCTAAGGATGGAGAAGATTAACACGGATTACAAACGACAAATTTGAAAAATTGAGGCTAAACTTTTCAATATG